GCCGCGGAGCAAGGCTACTCTCCCTGCCAGCAGTCCCCGCGCTGGGTTGCTGTGGGCTTTGTTAGAGTTTGAAAGGACCGCAAGGAAAGCTAAAAATAAATAAAAAGGGGGAAATAATTAAAAAAAAAGTAGCAAGAAAATTAGAAGGGTTTAGCTGTAACAGAACGGAGAGCCTGGACAGCTCCAAAGCCCTCTTCCTCTGCAGAAATCCAGAGGGGTGAAAGCAAACCCTTCCCGGCCTCAGTCGCTTCCCGCAGCCGGGCAGTGCGGCCTCCCTAGAGCCCCCGGGCCCCTTGGTGGGACCCCGCCACGCCGGGTACAGCAGACCAGCTCACTCTAGAAGGATTTATTCAACCAGGGCTCGTCGTTTTGTAACATCCCTTTCCAATTGTTTGAAAGAAATAACTGGCCAAAAGACCTTGGGGAGCCCTCAGGGACACGCAAAGATCCTGAGGTCCCAGCGGCTCCCGCCGCCCACGATGGGAACCAGGAGATTGGCACAAGATCTCCCAAGGAAACCCTAATAGGCTATTTCTGGACTACTGGCTCTTAACAAATCTATAGCACCTGAAGTGTTAGCACTCAATTAGTGACAAGGTTTCAAACTCTGGCGTTTACTAGCGAGGTATAAACAGAGTCCTCGGGAGATAGCCGGGAATTAGAGCGGGGGGGGCCCTGGACATCTTAACCGACTGGGATTAAGAGGAAAACTTTTTTAAAAGGTCCCCTCTTTCTCTCTCTAAACAGTCCGAGGTGTCGAAAGCTCAGGGGGAAAGAGGATGTGCTCTTCGGAGCTAATTGCGAGGTTGGGAGCTTTTTTGTTTGCTTCCAGTAAGAAAAGCTTTTTTTAAAATAAAACCTCACAAAAAAACCCAAACCACAAAAAAACTCACAACGAATCGCATTTAACAATCCCGGAGAGGAGCAACGAGTGGATGTGGATGAAATTCCTCACCTGCGAAGGGCTTTTGTGGGCAGGGGGTCAGGCTCAGTCCCCAACGGGCAGCGAGAGAAACCTGCGAACCCCGTGGAGGAGGGAACCCCCGGCATCCCTCGCTCTTTCCTTGCCGTCAGGAAAACAGCAACGGCTTTGCTCACCCCGTCTCGCCCACGTACACCCACGGGGCCTGGGGTTCGGCTGGACGAATGGGCTGGATAAGGTGTTTCAGGAGGCTCCTCTGGGGTCCTGTCTCCCTTTACTCCCGCTATTTAAACGCGATTCTAACTTCACACCAAGTGGCCCGCGAGCAAAAGTGACCCCAACAGAGGACAAAAGCGGTGTGGGAGAGCCCAAGGTGAGGTGATGCCTCCCCTCCATCCCTGCC